TCTCCCCATCTAATCTCTACACAGTCACATGTCTCCTATCCCTACTATACACAGTCACATGTTTCTACTCTCACCCACATAGTCACATGTCTCCTCTATCCCAACTTCCCTACACAGACACGTGTGTCTCCCACTTTCACCCAGCACAGTCACATGTCTCCCACCCCACACTCACACAGTCACATGTCTCTAACCCTACATTCTACATACACAGTCACATGTCTCCTATCCCCACCCTAAAGTTGTTATTGTCACAGACGCATGTCTCCCACTGCCTTCCCCTAATCTTCTACATCAGTGTTACATGTCTCCCAGCTCCACCTACACAGTCACATGCCTTCAGAATTCCTCACAAATGTCTCCCACCTCACCCTACACAGTTACATGTCTCCCAGCCCACCCTACACAGTCACATGTCTCCCAGCCCACTCCTACACAGTCACATGTCTCCAGCCCCACCTCTCTGAAGTCTCCCACCCCATTGTACATGTCTCCTACTCCCTACCCTCCATGTCTCCCCCACCCTCACCCTACACACTACATTAGTTACATGCCTTCCCTACACAGTCACCTCTCCACTCTACATACAGTCATATGTTTCCTAACTCCACTCCCACACCTAGTCACATGTCTCCCAAATTTCACTCTATCCCTACCTATCATACACAGTCACATGTCTCCCACTTCTCACCTAATACAGTCACATGTCTCCCATCCCAACCTCTACACATGCTCGTTCCACCTCCTACACATTTACATGTTCCAGCATCCTATACTAGTCACATGTCTCCCACTCCCACACTACACAGTCACATCTCTCACCTCTCCCACCCCATTCTACATACATCACATGTCTCCCATCCCCACTTCTACATTGTGCAGACGCATGTCTCCCACTCCCTACCCTTCTACACAGTTACATGTCTCCCAGCCCACTCCTACACAGTCACATGCTTCCAAATTCCCCACCCTACACAGTTACATGTCTCCTAGCTCCATCTCTACACAGTCACATGCCTTCCACCACTCACTCTTCTTCACAATCACATGTTTCCCACCCCTAATTACAGTCACCTTTCATGCAGTTTAGCATGTCTTCTGTTCCCTAATTTCTATTCTACACAGTCACATGTCTCCCACCTCACCACACTACAAAGTCACATGTCTACTAATTCCTAGTCTTCCTACACAGTCACATGTCTCCCACTTCTTTTTACCCTACACAGTCACATGTCTCCTACCTCTACTCCTACAAAGTTACATGTCTCCCCAGCTCCACCCTACACTAGTCACATGTCTCCCAGCCCAATTCTACACAGTCACATGTCCTAGCTCCCATCCCTACACAGTCACATGTGTCAGCAATTTCACCCTACACAGTCTCATGTCCCCTCTACTACAATACACAGTCACATGTCTCCCATCCCACTTCTATACACAGTCACATGTCTCCCACTCTCACCCTACACAGTCACATGTCTCCCATCCCTACTCCCATACACAGTCACATGTCTTCTAATTCTCACCCAATACACAGTCACATGTCTCCCACCCCCACCCTACACAGACATGTCACCCCCCACTCCCACCCTACACAGTTACATGTCTCCCAGTGTGCCCACCTCTACACAGTCACATGCCTCCCACCCTCACCCTACACAGTTACATGTCTCCCAGCCCATCCCTACACAGTCACATGCCTCCACCATCTCACTCCTACACAGTTACATGTGTCCCTAGCTCCATCCCTACACAGTCACATGCCTTTCCAACCCCACTCCTACACAGTTACATGCCTTCCACCCCAATCCTACACAGTCACATATGTCTTTCTAACTCCAATCTCTACACAGTCACATGTCTTCCACTTCCTCACCCTCCCTACACAGTCACATGCCTTCCACATGTCTCCCAGCCCTACAACACAGTCACATGTCTCCCACCCCACCCTACACAGTCACATGCCTTCCACCCCCACCCTACACAGTTACATGTCTCCCAGCTCCACCTCTACACAGTCACATGTCTCTCCCACCCCTACACTCCTACACAGTCATGTCTCCCAGCCACCCTACACAGTTATGCATGTCTCCCAGCCCACCTCTACACAGTCACATGCCTTCCACTCTGACCCAACACAGGTACATGTCTCCTCCTCACCCTACACAGTTATGTGCCTCACCCCTTTCACTCTACATACAGTTACATGTCTCCCAGCCCCCCTACACAGTTACATGCCTTCTAACTCCCCACCCTACACAGTCACATGTCTCCTACTCCCAATACTACATTGTCACAGCCCACCCTACATGTCTCCTCCACCCCAATCCTACACAGTCATATGTCTCCCACTTCTAATCCTACACAGTCAAATGTCTCCCCACCTCACTTCTACAGTTAAGCATGTCTCCTAGCCAACCCCTACACAGTCACATGTCTCCTAGCCCAATCCTACACAGTCACATGCCATCCAGCCCCACCCTACACAGTCACATGTCTCCCACTCCAGCTCCCACCTTCACACAGTCACATGTGTCCCACTCCTCCACCCTACACAGCCACATGTCAGTCACAATCTCACCTCTACACAGTCACATGTCTCCCAATACACAGTCTACATAGTCACATGTCAGCCCCCATCCCTACCATACACAGTCACATGTCTCTTCCACTCTCACCCCAATACAGTCACATGTCTCCCATCCCAAACTCCTACACAGTCACGTGTCTCCTACATTTCACCCAAGCACAGTCACATGTCTCCCACCCCACACTACACAGTCACATACATGTCTCACTCCCCACCTCTACACAGTCACATGTCTCCCATCCCCAATCCTACACAGACAGCATGTCTCCCACTCCCACCTCTACACAGTTACATGTCTCCCCACAGCCCTAATTCCTACACAGTCACATGCCTTTCTTCTCACTCTCACTCCTATACAGTTACATGTCTCCCAGCCCACTAACCCTACACAGTCACATGCCTTCCACCTCACACCCTACAGTTACATGTCTCCTAGCCCCACCCTACACAGTCACATGTCTCACCCCCTTCCACCACCACTCTACCCCATCTACAAGTTACATGTCTCCTAATTCTTTCCCCCTTCACAGTTACATGTCTTCTGCCCCTAATCCTTCACAGTCACATGTCTCCCACTCACCACACTACAAAGTCACATTCCCTACCTCCTCAATGTCTTCCCACCCTACATAATGCGTCAAATGTCTCCCACTCTCCTACCAATTCTACACCTTTTACAGTCAATGTTCCCTAATTTCTACCTTTCTACACAGTTACATGTCTCCCAGCCAACCCTACACAGTCACATGTCTCCCAGCCCACCCTACACAGTCACATGCCATCCAGCCCCACCTCCTACACAGTCACATGTCTCCCACTCCACCTTTCTGCAGTCACATGTGTCCTACTCCCTACTCCTACACAGCCACATGTTCAAGCACCTCACCCTACACAGTCACATGTCTCCCCACTCCACCCTACACAGTCACATGTCTCCCCCATCCCTACCATACACAGTCACATGTCTTCCACTCTCACCCAATACAGTCACATGTCTCCCATCCCAACCCTACACACAGACACGTGTCTCCCACTTTCACCAAGCACAGTCACATGTCTCCCATTCCCCACACTACACAGTCACATGTCTCTCACTCCCCACTCCTACACAGTCACATGTCTCCCCACCCCACCCTACACAGACACATGCCTCTCCCACCTCCCACCCCTACACAGTTACATGTCTCCCAGCCCACCCCTACACAGTCACATGCCTTCCACCTCAATCTCTACACAGTTACATGTCTCCTAGCCCCACCCTACACAGTCACATGCCTTCCAACCCCACCCCTACAGCAGTTACATGTCTCTCCACCCCCACCCTACACACACAGTCACATGCCTTCCACCCCCACCCTACACAGTTACATGCCTTCCACCCCTAACCCTACACAGTCACATGCCTTCCACCCCAATTCTACACAGTTACATGTCTCCCAGCCCAATCTCTACACAGTCACATGCCTTCCACCCTCAATTCCCTACACAGTTACATGTCTCCCAGCGCACCCTACACAGTTATATGTCTCTCCCCAGCCCAATTCCTACACAGTCACATGCCTTCCACCCTGACTCCACACAGGTACATGTCTCCAACAACCTCCCACTCTCTCCTATGTCTCCCAGTGCCCCCTTCACAGTTACATGCCTTCCACCCCCAATTCTACACACAGTTACATGTCTCCCAGCCCCCTTCACATGTTACATGCCTTCAACCCCCACTCCTTCACAGTCACATGTCTCCTACCCCTACAATACACAGCCACATGTCTCCCACCTCTAACCCTACAATAGTCATATCTCTCCCACACCCATATGTCACATGTTCCCACTCCACCCTACACAGTCACATGTCTCCCATCACTCCCTACCTATACACAGTCACATGTCTCCACTCTCATCCCCCATAATACAGTCACATGTCTCCACTCTATCCAGTCACATGTCCCCATCCCACCCTACACAGACACGTGTCTCCCACTTTCACCCAGCACAGTCACATGTCTCCCACCCCCACACTACACAGTCACATGTCTCTCACCCCCACCCTACACAGTCACATGTCTCCCATCCCCACCCTACACAGACGCATGTCTCCCACTCCCACCCTACACAGTTACATGTCTCCCAGCCCACCCTACACAGTCACATGCCTTCCACCCTCACCCTACACAGTTACATGTCTCCCAGCCCACCCTACACAGTCACATGCTTTCCACCCCCACCCTACACAGTTACATGTCTCCTAGCCCACCCTACACAGTCACATGCCTTCCACCACCACTCTTCACAATCACATGTTTCCCACCCCCACCTTTCACAGTCACATGTCTTCTGCCCCTACCCTAAACAGTCACATGTCTCCCACCACCACACTACAAAGTCACATGTCTACCACCCCACCCTACACAGTCAAATGTCTCCCACCTCACCCTACACAGTTACATGTCTCCCAGCCAACCCTACACAGTCACATGTCTCCCAGCCCACCCTACACAGTCACATGCCATCCAGCCCCACCCTACACAGTCACATGTCTCCCACTCCACCCTACACAGTCACATGTCTCCCACCCCTACCCTACACAGACACATGTCTCCCACTCCCACCCTACACAGTTACATGTCTCCCAGCCCACCCTACACAGTCACATGCCTTCCACCCTCACCCTACACAGTTACATGTCTCCCAGCCCATCCTACACAGTCACATGCCTTCCACCCTCACCCTACACAGTTACATGTCTCCTAGCCCACCCTACACAGTCACATGCCTTCCAACCCCACCCTACACAGTTACATGCCTTCCACCCCCACCCTACACAGTCACATGCCTTCCCACCCCACCCCACACAGTTACATGCCTTCCACCCCAACCCTACACAGTCACATGCCTTCCACCCCCACCCTACACAGTTACATGTCTCCCAGCCCACCCTACACAGTCACATGCCTTCCACCCTCACCCTACACAGTTACATGTCTCCCAGCGCACCCTACACAGTTATATGTCTCCCAGCCCACCCTACACAGTCACATGCCTTCCACCCTGACCTACACAGGTACATGTCTCCAACCTCACCCTACACAGTTACATGCCTTCCACCCCCACCCTACACAGTTACATGTCTCCCAGCCCACCCTACACAGTCACATGCCTTCCACTCTCACCCTATACAGTTACATGTCTCCCAGCCCCCCCTTCACAGTTACATGCCTTCAACCCTCACCCTACACAGCTACATGTCTCCCAGCCCACCCTACACAGGTACATGTCTTCCACCCCCCCTACACAGTTACATGTCTCCCAGCCCACCCTACACAGTCACATGCCTTCCACCCTCACCCTATACAGTTACATGTCTCCAATCCCTCCCCTTCACAGTTACATGCCTTCCACCCCCACCCTTCACAGTTACATGCCTTCCACCCCCACCCTACACAGTTACATGCCTTCCACCTCACCCTACACAGTCACATGCCTTCCACCCCCACCCTACACAGTTACATGTCTCCCACCCAACCATACGCAGTCACATGCCTCCCTACCCTATAACAATCCCTCACCAACTGACATTCTTACGGATTGCAATATGTTTTAATCCCCATCAAACATATGGTAAATATGATAAGCACACCTTTCACACAGCAACAAGTCATTTGGAGAGTCAATTGTACCACTGTGACTGTTTCATGAGCATGTGTTTATGAATGGCCATCCAATTTTGCTGATAGTAGGTATTCACGAAAATTGTTGATATACTAGGTATTCACGAAAATTATTGATATACTAGGTATTCATGAAAATTGCTGATACTAGGTGTTCACGAAAATTGTTGATATACCAGGTATTCATGAAAATTATTGATATACTAGGTGTTCATGGAAATTGCTGATACTAGGTGTTCACGAAAATTGTTGATATACTAGGTGTTCACGAAAATTGTTGATATACTAGGCGTTCATGAAAATTGTTGATATACCAGGTATTCACAAAAAGTGTCGATACTAGAACATAGAGAACACGAGAACATAGTGTGAAGTCAAATGGGAATGGAATCCGACATCATTTTGTAACTAATACGTCTAGCTTTACTGAGATTTGAATGTTGTCATCTTGATCAAACAACCTGTACCCTAGAGATGTATGGCGCTGATGTAGTTGATGTGTTCCATTCTTCCGACCGAAGTGATATTTCAAAACACTGAAAAAGAGTACTATGGCTGTGTTTGTATAGCGACAGTATCCGTGATTTCATGAGATTCATATAGGTCCATTATGATTCTTTATCATGACAGTTACCGTTATGTTAGCTCAAGATCTCCAGTTCTTACAACATTGTGCGTGAGCGACGTCAACGTATAGTTTAATGAAGTGTGTTGGAGTACGCTGACAAATTATATATTAATGAATGCAGGCAGACAATCGACTTCCTTACGGAAACAAAGCTGCAACTCCTCAAAACGAATTAGGACCATAAAGACGTGAATCTCTTTCAGAAGGAAAGGTATATATGAAAGATTAATAACAAAGTTATTGTGTGTGGAACAATATACCTCCTAGTGTTCCTCCTTGACTGATTCACCATGTCGTATATACTCAGAATAAAGTTAGGTTCCATTGTTGTTTTTTATATATTTTATTACTTGCACACATTTACATACTTTTGACTCCATTGGTAGAGAATCAGACAATCCTCGTGGATTTTGTGTTTTGGGGCGATATAGTGTGACTTGAGCAGACACAACCTTGCCAACTTCATGATAGTGGACCCGTGAAGGTCCGGGTTAGAATTGGCCTTCAGCTTGTCGTAGGAGGCGACTGACGGGATCGGGTGGTCAGGCTTGCTGACATGGTTGACACATGTCATCGGTTCCCAATTGCGTACATCGATGCTCATGCTGTTGATCACTGGATTGTCTGGTCCAGATTCGATTAGTTACAGACGACCGCCATATAGCTGGAATATTGCGGCGTAAAACTAAACTCACTTACTCACTCATTCACTCACTCACTCATGATAGTGGGTTGAAACTGTTTGTGAATCGCATCAAAGAAGATTATGTGAGTAACAACATTCAAGCTTTCCTAGACTCAGAAGTAGACATTAATAGTGCAGTAGATAGGTTACTGGACACTTTCTTAGACTTAGAAGTAGACATTAATAGTGCAGTAGATAGGTTAGTGGCCACTTTCCTAGACTTAGAAGTAGAGATTAATAGTGCAGTGTATAGGTTAGTGGACACTTTCTATTGCATGGGTTCATATTTCCAGACCAAATCATCATCATTTTCGTCAACCATGTACATCAAGGCAATAGTTACATAAACATAAAATAAAGCAGGATATAAATGGTGCCATAACGACAGGGATTGTAAAACATTTTGGAACTGGATTAAATGACCATGGAATTCACATTACCATGGAATTATTGAACTTATTGAACCACAACATTACCAATGACAATAAATTTGATACTACCGTAAGGGAGGCGTTTGATAGGCTTTTAGAAGTTGGTAGAGTAATACAACACACTTGATATGGATGTGCAACTTCTTTATTATTTACACACGGTGTTTCTTTTCTTACACTTGCCCCTTTATCGGGTGAATGACAGTCAATAGTTACGGAGGTATATATAGTATGTATAGTTTGTAAAAACAACTCTGTGGCTTCCTGTACATACTATATATAGCTCTGTAACTACTGACTTTAACCCTTTATTAATGACGCCTCTTATATAAGTGACGTTTCTTTTGTGGTTGAGTATATATTGCACACACGGGGTGTGCATGGTAAATGCTTTGATATATTAAAATGCATGTATGGCCAGGTGAAAGCCTGCGTCAGAGCAGGGAACAGGAGATCATCTGTGTTTGACACATCTTCTGTGTACGACAATGACGCATGCTTAGTCCTGCACTGTTTATCTTTTTCATAAAATGAGCTGTCTGAATTCAAACAATTCGAATTACGAGGTATATTTGTAACAGAAAGTATTGAATAAATCATCAGATTAAAGTTCTCTGATGATATATCATTAACTGACTCAAGTACCGTTGGTTTACAGATAAAACTTGATGCCCTTCACAACTATTGTAAAATGGGGTGAATTCAGAGAAGTCAAATATTATTGTCTTCAGAATTGGTGGATACCTAAAATCAACCGAAAATGGTTTTATAGGGCATCTGAACTGCGGTAAGTATAGTAACTTATTATAAATATCTTAGAATTATATTTTTACCAAGACTGTGTTGGTCTAAAGCCTGTGAAACATTATCTCTACAAGCAAAGGCCTTTTCACAATTCAGCAACTTCTGAACAAATACCCAGCTATTCAGTTAATAGTAGAAAAAGTACTTTATGGATAACAACGTCTTTATTTGTTATGATGCGACGTTTCGGTATAGCTTCTTATACCGTTGTCAAGCAAGAGTGTTATACTTTTCTATTATCCATCAACTTCTTCAATGCCAATCAAATAGTGGAGAAATGAAGTGTGTGTGTGTGTGTGTGTGTGTGTGTGTGTGTGTGTGTGTGTGTGTGTGTGTGTGTGTGTGTGTGTGTGTGTGTGTGTGTGTGTGTGTGTGTGTGTGTGTGTGTGTGTGTGTGTGAAGGGTTAGAATATTTTACACTGGTTTATCATATGTCTGCATCTCCCAGAACTGTGGGCATGTTGACATATTAATTCAACTGTTTCAACAACGTTGTAAATTTGTCAAGTTCAGGATTGGCCTCCACATTACCTCAGTGCTTATTCCGAGTTAAAATCTTTGTTAACTCCAGAAAAATACATATCTTCACTTGCTTGCTAAAACCATTTCAGGAAAATGTTATGTTAGTTTCGTTGCCTTTTCTATAAGCTGAATATCCAGCAGTATCGGTTTAATATGAATGTTGATAGAGATACATTAGTCTGCTCCAAGTGTCAGTTACAGCAAACTAAAGACAAGTATCATTTTCTGCTTATTTGTCCTTATTATACAGAAAGTCGTCAGAAAATTTTCCCATCTTATTATCATGTAGACCCGTCATTTGTCAAATATTATCAATTGCTATCATCAACTAATGAGAAGCATGTACTATTCTTAAGTATTTATCTGAAAAGAAACTGCAATATGATATATAGACTTTCCACAGTACTATAACTCTTCCTCATCTACATTGTACCGCTGTGCACAATATTTCTGTACCTAAATGTACTTTAGGCCATGTGGCCATTTTGTCATTGTTATTGCCGGTGTTACTAACTTTGCCATTGCTGCTTAGACAAATGACTACCTATAAGGCATAGGACACATACCTTGAGAAGTTGTATTATAGTATTATATATACCAATACGATTATCTTCATAGTTTATTCAAGGACAACCTATGACTAGACTCAAGCAACGATGGGTTAAACATGGCAGTGACTAGCGAGCCTCATCCTCACTTGAATTAATGCAAAGGTTCCATATTATCAACTTCATTTACAAAGGTGGAACATACACAACGGACGCTGCTATAGATCATAGTTGGGCTTTTAGTTCTCCTGAGGCATCTTGACGGGCATATACGAATACCATTATCTGTATAGTTAACTTATTCTAGGACAACCGATGACTAGACGCAAACAATAATGGGCTAAACATGCCTCCTCCCCAATCAAATTAATGTAAAGGTTTCATAAAATTACCTCTATTAATGACTAGGAAAGAGATTGGCTTTTAGTGGATTGACAATGTGTGTTCCCGAAGGAGTCTTGTGCCATGTATGTAAAGGAGTGTAGAGATAATATAATACATTGAATCAGGAATAACTGCTTACCGATCATCGTTTGCAGACAATAAGCATTACTGCCTTCTTTGAGTGAACAATCGTAACCCTTCTCGATTGATTGATCATATTGATGTTTGTAGACCAGTATCTAATTGTTTCCTGAATATTATAACGTAACTCCTCATTCGTGAAATAATTGTCGAATTCATAATACAAGCCTTACGTAATGAAATACAACGCAATTCAGTGAGCAGACAGACCACCATTACCTAATTAGCAATGTGAGACATTCAATATTATTTCAGTGTTCCTTCATAATAATTCCATGACGTCAAGGGTCATGTGACTGTCACGTGTCTACATCCTTGACACTGCTCATAAAAAGGAAAACTGTACTAAGTGAATGTTCATATCGCTTTGGGTCGTGAGGATAACACTTTGATCATGGGTTTAGCGATGGTTCTTGTGCTGCATGGGATGCAACTCGCCTCCCTACCACCCGGTGTCCCCATCTCGTCAAGAAGAGACTGTGTGTCTAGATGTTATCGTCAGGGGACCTGTACCTCCGTCGTCTATGATGGTAGCACCAAGAAATGTCATCTTTCCACTGAAGTATATTTTGAACGTGACTTGACGAGCACCCCAAACAACATGCAGTATCTTGTATGGAGACGAGGTATGTTCAAACCTTACTTGGGATCATCTATGTTAAATTTCACTACATTACGGGCATCGTTCACAGGTACAGGTATTAGTTAAGAGAGTATGGGTGGGCTCGGTTGGATTGGATTGGTGTGTGGTGTCATCTGGTGTGGTTTGGGGTGCTGTAGTTGAAATAATACACAGGTCAACAACAGAAGAACCACCCTTTCCGGGAACAAACGGCGAAACAGGTTAACGAATCGCCTAAGCGTCGCAAAAAAATACAAAACGACTTTTTCTGATGTAACACGAAATATCCGGTGTGAAATTTCCGAAATGTGACGGTATGAAACAGCTTACGCGTTAGTAAAATTAACACAAAACATATGCCACGTTTGAGGCAAAACGAAAGAGATAGAGAGAGCTGTCGGAATGGCCCAACAAGCTAACCACACTGTCATTGCCAGAAGCTTCGGCTGCACTTGAGTAACTGTCATCAGACTGATGCAACGACTAAGACAAACGGGCAATACGTCAGACAGAGTAGTGGACCACATGTGATACCCGGTGATCATCACCACATCTGGACAAGTCATCTGAGAAATCGTTTTGTAACGGCGACGTCAACGGCAGCGACGGCACTAGGACACCGTATCACTCGACATACAGAGTACCGGCGACTAAGAGAATATGGTATTCGACTACATCGACCCTATCGCGAAATAAATCTGACTTTTCGAAACAGGTCGTCGATTTACATGGACCAGGCGAGTTAAATGTTGGCAAATTCAAGATTGGCGACCTATGATGTACGTCGACCCTATCGCGAAATAAATCTGACTTTTCGAAACCGGTCGTCGATTGACATGGACCAGGCGAGTTAAATGTTGGCAGATTCAAGATTGGCGACCTATGATGTACGTCGACCCTATCGCGAAATATATCTGACTTTTCAAAACCGGTCGTCGATTGACATGGACCAGGCGAGTTAAATGTTGGCAGATTCAAGATTGGCGACCTATGATGTACGTCGACCCTATCGCGAAATATATCTGACTTTTCAAAACCGGTCGTCGGTTGACATGGGCCAGGCGAGTTAAATGATGGCAGATTCGTGATTGGCGACGTATGATGTACGTCGACCCTATCGCGAAATATATCTGACTTTTCAAAACCGGTCGTCGATTGACATGGGCCTGGCGAGTTCAACCAATGGTGGACATATACATGATTGGCGACGTATGATGTTCACCGACCAGAGTAGATTCTGTCTGTACAGCTGTGACTAGAGCATGAGCATATATTTATTTCAGCAGCAAATCAAATTATGAGGGTCAAATTAGGTAACCTTGTCGCATTGTCGCCCACCGAAATGCAACAGAAATGTGTTGAAATGCAACAACGCGTTAGTATCCCCTCTAGGAATCCATAGACATCTGTGTGTATGAGCTATATGACCATGACGGCATATTGTTCTTCCTCAGATGACTGCGACAAGGGCTACACGTGGTACCGAAGCCTAGGCCTCTGCTACAAGATCTACACCTCAATGAAAACCTGGTTCCAAGCCAACCATACATGCCATCAAGACGGCGGACATCTCATCAAAGTGGACAGTGCTGGCATCAATGCATTGATGAACAGGATATCCGATTCACACTGTAGGTTGCTTGGTGGCAATAAAATCACCCTCTTAAAAGTATAGTTTTAACTTGATATCCGATGTTCGTAAAGACACAGACGGACATACACGACATACACCTAGACATTCACTCGAACACAAAAGATATGTCCCACACATGAAAACCATCACTCTGATATCAACAACTCATTGTTCGATATCCTTTTAGGAAGGTGGTTTTCATTTCATTTTGTTATATAACGAAGCAAACACTGAGAAACAGAAGATTACCTCATTTGACGGGAGAAATGTCTCTATTTATACCTAACACAACGAGTGTCGTTGTGCTAACCTGTTGCTTGTTTTTTTTGCCAATTTCGGCAATTTGTCAAACATTTGACTTTCCTCCAATATACTTTCACATTGGACCAACAAATGTTTAGTACAGCTTATAACAGGTCTGTCCGAGGTGATTAGAACAACCATAACGTCATAGCTGCCACATGAACATATCTTTTCAGTCACCTTGAGCACAAGCGTTAGTAGATATCTATGTTTGTGTTCACAGCTGTCAGTATCTGGCTGGGTGGTTTTCAAGATGATCTCAATGGAAAGTGGACATGGCCAGATGGAAATGTCATCAATCCAGCCTACTGGGACAACACTCAAGGAAACTCAGTCACAGAGAAGTGTACAACAGTTTACACATCTTATAAACACGAGATACGGAGATGGCATGATTTCCTCTGTACATCTATTAATGTTCCCATGTTTGTGTGCCAGCTCCCTCTGAAGGAAGAGCCTTACTGTTGACAATGGGTAATAACACAACTGCTATCAGCGACATATGCTCAAATATGATGCTGCAAACGTCAAACCTAACAAATCCACTATCATGTAACTTTTCATATCCTCGGTATTCACTGATTGGGTTGATCCAATGTCAGTTACGTCTGTCTCTTTCGCAAAGCGTATGGCTCGACTTCGTCTGTCAGGACGACAAACCTTTCCTGGACCTCCTCGAATAGTCAATGCTGACTCCGAGAGGCATAACATCCTTAAATTGTCATGGCAAGCAATGACCCCAGATTTTCTGCCACTGAACACGTTTTTGACAAGCAAGGGAGGCGTGTCAATTAGCGTGATAGGATGTCGAGCACGTTGTCTAAACTTGACCACGCATCGAAGGTGAAATGGGAACATGCTATCTCAAATCCCCTTTGGTAGGTTCATACGCAATATTCCTCGTCCTGAGAATGAAGTGTGAAATATCGTGGCAGTATGTCACATTGCTGATCCACAAACATCTCATTTACAATTTCCCATCTTACCCCCGTCTTCCTATAAGATTGTTGGTGATGTGATAGGTTTCGTGTACTTAATTGGTTGGTTGTTGTTTAACGCCGCACTCAGCAGTATTCCAGCTACATGGCGTTGGTCTGTAAATATTCGAGTCGGGACCAGATAATCCAGTGATCAGCATTATGAGCATTAACCAATGCCATTCGTATATGATGACATGTGTCAACCAAGTCGGCGAGTCCTGCCACCCGATTTCGTTGGTCGCTTGTTACGACAAGCAAGGGTTACTGAAGGCCAAGTCTAAACCGGTTCCTAACGGGTATCATGTTCTTGAAGCTACCTAAGGACTTAGAAAAATTCTGAAAGACTGACTGTAACGAGAAGGGGGTGATTCTGATGCTCATATAGAATAGATATCCCTTTCCATATAAATAAGAAATCGAGTCGATTCTACAATTCTGACCATATCATGACTTCGTGCTTGTTTGACGCAGCATAATAGTTCTTGAAAATATTTGAGTGATGCATTTCTAAATATGGTTGGTGATTTGATAGGCGTCATGTCCTTGAAGCCACCGCAGTTATCTGAATGGGACAGTTTCTAGTGTTGTTCCGAAACAATAACAGGGTGGTTCGAAGCATTTTGCATTCAGATGCGTATCCAATTGGAAACACCGACTTCATTCCAGATTGTAACATAAGTTCTAGATTCAAGAAATGAGACAGCCCTGACGATATTTTTGAAAACTCGTAAGTGCACTATCATAAGTAAGTGCACGACAGTTTTTCATATATACATTGCTTTATATTTGTCCGACATTGGTTTTGTGTTATTGTACACACTTTAACTCTTTGCTCGAATACAAATATTTTACCTTTCTTTGAAATTACCATTATATAATGTTAAACTATTTCAACTTCAACAGGTTTGATAATTCTGTGGATATAAAACTTCTCAACTTCTACAGTATATACGATATTTCTTTGTAGATTCTATTTAGAATGTTTATCATTGCATAATAAAACTCTTTGCTTAAATAGAAAACAATATACTTTTCATTGGTTCTATGGGAATTTACTATTTCCACAGGAAGGTTCCATGTACTGATTTCTGGATTGTTATCAACCTCTCTGTTTAGAGTGAGTGAGTTAAGATGTTACGTCACATCGGCAATATTTCAGCCACATTGTGGCTAAAAATGTTATGATATCATAATAAAGGTAAAAGATAAAAACCTGCCCACGAAGGACAGTAAAAACAACTAGAATATCACATATATAACTGTAAAATAGTAATTAAATATAAAACATTTGAACTATAGATGACAAAACAGTATGAAAGCTGGCTATAGATTGCCAACAACTGAAAGTAGATCACCATACTAGGGATCATGGAGACTTTTGCTTCCTGCGTAGAACCTGGCTGGAGTTACATCACCCCTGCAGCTGTCAACAATTGTCGACTAATCTATTAATTTAAATTAAATATTTTAAAATGACATATATACTATGATTAAACATAGCAGTAGGTTTAAATTTACTTTGAATGTTTTGGGACTTACGTACCCTCTCAGAAGGACAATAATTTTACAATACTTTAATCCCCTTTGAAGGTCCTGCCATTAACAATCTCAGTTGTTAATTGTAACTACTAATTCTAAAATATTTATCTATTTAGACAACTTTTATCAAAATTTATAACGCTATTTCTTTTAAAAATGAAATGATTTAACTTGATTTACCATTAAAAGGATCCTTCAATGTTTTGACATTGAAATACTTATCCCTCGTGATGGAAAAATCAACCTTCAAGCAGGACATGTTTGCCCTTGATTCTTTCATAACTAAGGATGCAAAACGGAGGATCCTCACCTTTTAATAGGTATTCATAGGTATATCCAGGATTGCCAATACGGCATCGTCTTAGAATGACCTCTTCAAATTTCGACTGACAACCCAAGTAGGTGTTACCGATATAGGGTTTTATAGCATGTAATTTATTAATACCTACTTGAGTGTACCACTTCTTCTGCATCAGATCACGAATGTATGATTTAATGATAGCTTTGTAAGTGAAGAATGAGAAGCGGTGTCACAGATTTGTTGAGTGCTGCTTTAGCAGCATAATCAGCCATTGTGATACCAGATATCCCAAAATGGCTGGGTAACCAACTGAAGACAATGTATTGTCTAGTTGCAAGGTCATTATATAATTCAATAATTTTAATTAAAAGTGGAGTTTTGCACGATAAGTTTTCATAGTCTGAAAGGACGAAAGAGAATCTGAATATGGCGTTGGCTTCTGCTGTAAAGTAGAGCTGTTCTACGGTATTCCAGAATATACTGTTCTGGATCCAATGACAGTAGCACAAGCCACTGCGCCACCATCCTTGTACCCATCTGTACAGAAGGATTTGTGTGCATTACACTTACTTTGTAATTGATGGAATTCTTGTTTATATTGTAATTGATTAGTTCCTGATTTTTAAAAACATGTTGTGAGTGTAAGGTCAACTTGTGGCCTCACTGATTGCCAAGGAGGAGAAAGAAGAAGGCGGGGAGATACATTTTCTAGTTCAATGCCAGCATCAGAAATGAAAGGTTTTATTCTTATTCCAAGGGTCGGAAAAAGAGATGAAATGTCATTGTAGAAATCCTCATAAAGAGGATTAAAACACAATTGTAAGCAGGGTTGGACTCAATAGAATAAAGCTTTGTGATATATTGAAAAGATAATTTTAGACGGCCTCACTGATTGCCAAGGAGGAGCTGGAAGAAGGCGGGAAGGAGATATATTTTCTAGTTCAATGCAATTATCATAAATGAAAGGTTTTATTCTTATTCCAAGATTTGAGACGGCGTTGGCTAAGAGATGGCTCATCGGCCTCAACGTATGGGCTGTTAATAGAAGAGGTTCTTAAAGATCCAAGAAAAACTCTCAGACCTTGATGGTGGACACAATCAAGTAGTTTGAGGATGCTTTTGCAGGCTCCACCATATACGATGGAGCCGTAATCAGGTTTTGATCGCACCAATGATCTATATACGTGAAGGTGGGTAGTTTGATCCCCTCTTCACTTTGAATTGGAAACAACCTTTAGCAAATTCAGTGGCTTGAGGCATTTGGCTTAATGGTATGTAATATGCGGCAGGAACGTTAAATGCGTCGAACTTGGCCTCCTTTACAACTTTGATGGGGGTGCCATTTAGAAATAGTTCAGGGTCTTTAAGCGGTTTGCATTAACGACAGAAATGTATACGATTAGTTTTGTAATCGAGAAGATATTGTTCTGGACCCAACGACAGTAACACAAGCCATTGCGCCATCATCCTTGGACCCATCTGTAAATAAGGATTTGTATGTATTATATTTACTTTGTAATTGATTAAACCTTTGTTTATATTGTAATTCATAAGTTTTTGATTTTTAAAAATGTTGTCAGTGTTAGGTCACCCTGTGGCCAACTTTGAATTGGAAACAACATTTAACAAATTAAGCGCGTTCAGGCATTTGGCTTAATGGTATATAATATGCTGCAGAAACGTAAAATGCGTCGAAAATAAGGCCCAGGAACTTGGCCTCCTTTAGAACTTTGATGGGTGTGCCATTTAGAAATAATTCAGGGTCTTCATGCGGTTTGCCGAAATGGGAACGATTAGTTTTGGATTTATTTTGTTTAAATACAACTGCAGCTGCCGTTCAATAGTATGCATATTTCTACTGAGACAAGAAATAATAGAATTATCCACAAAAAAGCGATCCATCCATTGAATCATTAAAAACCTTTAATAAACTGTTGATATTGATGTTAAAAAATGTGACAGACAAAATACTTACTTGTGGGACACCCTGATGCTGATTGTAATGATCAGACAGGGGAGAACCCACGCGGAATTTCGTCACAATCCGAACCTCAAAAAAGGAACTTTTTCTCCAATCATTCAGTTGCTACGATTGGCGATAACAACCCCATACGCATGTCAACGATCGTAATCACCACATTAAGCGTAACTCAGTTCCCGGATTCTAAATGTGAAAACCTCCTAACCATTACCGGCCTTTAAGTAGACATGAAATTTTCAAATTGGAGAAATTATTGTCAAGTCCGGACGAGGCTTACTTCATAATTATGTGTGACTCATCCACATAACTGTAGAATTCTTATCAAGTACCGTTTTCACCTCACCGAGCATTAGTTGCGAGCGCGCACACACACACACATACACAAACACAGACATATATATATTCCATAAATTACGCACGACATATTTTAATAGATATTTATCATCGCCTACGTAGGAGTTAGTGAGATCAAAATTGTTTTCACCATGGCCCTACTACGGTTTCGTAAAATTATCTGTCATTTAAAAAGTTATAAATATAAATTGAGGCAAACGGCCTCGTAATCCAACTCGTTTATTAATTCTAAACACACAAAATTGATCGATGGTACCTGTGCTTTTACGGAATCCAAATTGTATATCTGTTATTAGGTTATTGGTTTCCAAGTACAAAACAAGTCAATTATTTATCATGCGTTTGCAAACGCAGCTTTTTAGTGAAATTGGTCTATAAAAGGATCAGTATGATCACGTCCAGGTTTTGGGATTGGAACAATTACAGCATCACACAACGACGATGCCCTAGTGTAATCAAACATATGTAAGAGAGTTACTGAAACTAAAGCTGAAACTCCTAAAATAATATTAGAACCACAAAAGCGTGAACCCTTTCGGAAGGAGTGAGTGAGTTAAGATTTTAAGTCACAATTTCAGAAGGAAAGAATTATGTGAAATATTCATGACAAAGGTTTTGTATGTGGAACAATATACCTCCCAGCGTTCTTATTTGACTGATTGTCAGGTCATATATAAACTACAGGGGAAAATAACGTATCACCGACTTAACTTGACTACAAAAATAGAAACAAATACATTTAGGATGATATTTAGGATAATTATCTTACAAACAGAAATCAGTTTCCAATAATTTGACTGTAAATTCAAATTGCCGGCATTTATTAAGAAGGGGTCAAGGGGTCAAACTTCGGTTCAAGTTGTTGGAGGTAGTACATGCAGTCGCCGTCACGTTCCACATGTGGATCTGCCGGATGTAGCTGTCTTCAGCCGGTGTCGTGACTCTTGGTCTTCCCGATCTTTGGCGGTCTTGGGTCTGGTCTGTTTGCTTGTGGCAGTTTATCAATTTGCTGATGGTGGCCTGGTGGAGGTTCTGGCAGGCTGACTTTGTGAAGCCATGACCTTGCCAGCCTTCGTGACTTGGCTCCAAACATGTCATGAAGGCTGTCAAGGTTGTGCCAGAATCCGAAGGTACCTCTCTTCAGGAATAAAGTCTGCACACTTAAAACTGTTGAGAGATATTGTTCTCCTTCAAGGTTTTGCTGACAGAGTGGATTCTCAGCCATGTTGTTATTGTTGTTGTTGATGATGATGATGATGATGACGATGATGATGATGATGATGATGATGATGATGATGATGATGATGATGATGATGATGACGACGACTATCTCATGAAGACATATTATGGCTGGGCCTATACACATACTATTGCATGTATTAACTTTTTCAGATCCTAAACAATAAGAGGCTCCTACCCACACGAATTACTGTAAAGGTTACAAAAATGAACCTCATTTACAAAGGCGGAACATATACTATGAATAAGAAAAAAATTACCCTTCTTCCAAACGATTACAATGTGTGTTCCCGAAGGAGTCTTGTGCCAAGTTTGTAAAGGAGTGGTAGTGATAATATAATGCACTGAATCAGAAATAACTGCATGCTGATCATCGTTTGTAGACAATAAACTCTCGTTCTTGCCTTCTTTGTGCTTGCAGACAATAAACATTCGTGCTTGCCTTCTTTGTGAAAACAATCGTAAGTTTATGACTCGAGGGTCATCATTTAGGCTCAGTGTATTATATTCAACAATAGGCATGTATTTATTGATGCGCATGTTTTTAGTAAAGTATGTCATTGTTTATTCAACATAACAACTTAATTCCTCATTCGTGAAATAATTTTAGAATCCATAAAACAATCCTTAAGTAATGAAAAACAATACAATTCAGCGTGTAGACACGCCAACAATTACCTAATTAGCAAACTTTATCAAGCAATGTACGTATATTTAGAAATGTCCGATGGAGCAAGGAATAAAGGTTGGTTCTTTTAGTGAAATTGTAATTTACGCATTGTTCAGTTTTGTTCGCGATTACCGATGCGATGTACAAAGCAACTTTACTATGTTGTGATTAAGAGGACACCATCAACATAAGGGCTTTTATAATCATTTTATCGCCTCGCATCATGCACCAATGATTTCTCCTTTATGACAACTCGGGCTCGAGTCAGTCACTAGGGCTGCATCTTGAGTCCTAACCGGCAGGATCATGTATCCTCTAGGTGGGAATTGTAGGTGTTCAGTGTTCCTTCAAAACAATTCCTTGACAACAAGTATCATGTGATCATATGTTAAGATCCTGAAATATACTCATATATATGACGACTGTGTGTTAGAGGAATCTACATATCGTTACGGATCGTGAATCTGCCACTTTGATAATGGGTTTAACGATGGTTCTTGTGCTCCATGGGATACAACTGGCTTCCCTACCACCCGGTGTCCCCGTCTCGTCAAGAGGAGACTGTGTGTCTAAATGTCACCTTCAGAGGAACTGCTCATCTGTCTTCTATGATGGCAGCACCAATGTGTGTCAGCTTTCTGCCGAGGTGTTCCTGCAACAGGACTTGACAAGCACACCAAACAACATGCAGTATTTGGAATGGAGAAGAGGTATGTTCAAACCTTACTATGCTCACATATAACACATATATAACATCATATATCACGTATATATATATCGTCTACAGGTAAAGGTATAGGTTAGGAGATGTTAGAGAGGGATATTTGTAATAATACAGCTAATTATATCTTTCCATGGTATTTACTTAGTTCTAACAGATAGGTCAGGTTTTGGCAGAGGAATCAGTCTATCACTCTTTTTAATCCAGTGAATATCCAAACAAATAGGCGTTGCTAACTTTACAAACTGATACATGAAAGGATATGGGAGACTGTAACATAACGGTACCCATGTCCAAGGAATTGCTATCTCTCACATCCTGGAACAGACCTAGTCTCCTTGGAAGTTGTTTCTTGAATGTATAGTAATGTTTCACATTAAGCAGACAACATATCGTTGTGTGAAATTACAATAAATGTCCCTAATGTACCTAGACAGATGTGCTTCAAATATACCCAATATATCGCCATTGTCTCTCTTTCTCACCCTACATATACCAACATCACTCTCATCTGTTTCCAATGACCTTAATATGTCACCTATCCCTTTTAATCACAATCAGATTTCACACAGTCACTTGTCTCCCATTCCGATTCTACAGTCACATGTCTTTCATCCTCACCCGACACACGTATGTAAGTCCCAAACATTTAAAATAAATTTAAACTACCACATTTTTAATCCTAGAGTATGTGTTCTTTTATTGTAAGGCTAGATTTGAATAAACTGCTAACAGCTGAAGGGATGGTGTAAATCCAGCCAGGATCCATGCAGGAATCAAATGTACTGTAAGTCCCTATGGGCCCTAGTATGTTGATCTAACTTCAGTTGTTGGCTATCTATAACCCATTTTCATATTGTACCTTTAAAGTTAGAAATAGTGTTTTATGGTTATATGCTAGTTTTAGTATAAATCTGTCCTTCGCAGACAGATAAGTATATAAGTTTGTTTTTCATGTATACATTTACGAATTTACCACCAAATTTCACGATATGTCTGAAATACTGCCGATGTGACTTTAAATTGTAACTCACTCTTTCACTCACCCGACACACAGTCACATGTCTCCATTCCCCTTCCTATACATTTTCACTTGTCCCCATCCCCTTCTTTCACACAGTCAAATGTCTCCCATCCCTCTCTCATACATAGTCACATGTCCCTTTTGATGATACTACTTGTTGAGAAACTCTCCTGATGGACTTTGTTCAATGTCATATATACAAGCTAAAAGACGGCTTTGAAATGTTATACCAGGAAAAGAGCTTTGTACCGTATGGGAATATTCGTAATACTGTATATCAACATGCGTATATTGGTGCAAAAGTAACCGGTCGTCGATTGACATGGACCAGGCGAGTTCAAAGGTGGACAGATGCATGATTGGCGACGTGTGATGTTCATCGACCAGAGTAGATTCTGCCTGTACAGTTGTGACTATATCATGAGCATATATTTATTTCAGCAGCAAATCAAATTATGAAAGTCACATTATGTCACCTTGTCGCATTGTCGCCAATCGGAATGCGTCAGAAATGTGTTAAAATGCTACAACACGATAATATCCACACACATATGTATGTATGAATTTTATCACCATGACGGCATATCGTTCTACCTCAGATGACTGCGACGAGGGCTACACGTGGTACCGAAGCCTCGGCCTCTGCTACAAGATCTACAACTCACCAAAAACCTGGTTCCAAGCCAACCATACATGCCATCAAGACGGCGGACATTTCATCAAAGTGGACAGTGCTGGCATCAATGCACTGATGAACAAGATATCCGATTCTCACTGTAGGTTGCTATTGGAATTAAAATCATCACCCTCTTAAAAGTAAAGTTCAAACTTGATATCTGATATTTGTAAAGACACAGACGGGCATATACCCAGACATTAATAGATCTATAAAACTCGAACACAAAAGACATGTCCGACACATCAAAGCCATCACTCTGATATCAACAACCATTTTCCGATGTCTTTTAGGATAGTGGTTTTCATTTCATTTAATTATATAACGTGGTAAACACCGAGGAAGTATAGATTACCTCCTGTGATGAGAGAATTGTTTCTTCTTGTACCTAATACAACGAGTATAGCTGTGTTTCATTTGTTGCTTTGTTTTTGCCGCATTCAGCAGTTTTTCATCCAATATATTTCTACAAATGGTCAGTACAGGTAATGACAGTCCCGTCCGAGGTGGCAAGATAAAAAACATAGTGTCATAGCTGCCACATAATTTTTTCTGCAATTCCCATTCAGTCACATCAATAGATATCTATGTTTGCATTCGCAGCTGCCAATATCTGGCTGGGTGGTTTCCAAGACGACCTCAGCGGAAAGTGGACATGGACAGATGGAAGTGTCATCAGTCCAGCCTACTGGGGCGATGGTCAACCAAACTTAGAATTAGAGAAGTGCATCGGAGTCTACACAGCTTTTAAAAACGTAATAAGGAGGTGGAATGATTTCCTCTGTTCACAAACTGGTGTTCCCGTGTTGTTTGTGTGTCAAGTGTCTCTGAAGGAAGAGCCTTACTGCTGACAATGGGTAATAAAACAATTACTATCAGCAAACTGATGCTGCAGTTACAGTTATATTTCTGTTCATATGTCACTCACTACACCAGTTACAGTCTGAATCGAGTTGACTGATTATGGGATAAAAGCATATTAACATAACAGTATTTGTGAATTCTCTTAACAGAAGCTAAATGCAAAACGTGTGGATTAAATGCTTTATGGATTTTCCCAAAGAGTAAAAACGCTATTTTTATATTAATTATTGCTCTAAAGCCTTGCGTAGTTTATGAGTAAATGATTTATGAGGAAAAGTCACAATGGCAAATATTTTAATCAAAGTTGTTTTTTTATGGCATTCGGGATAAATTATACACTAATTTTCAAAGTACCCACTGGATCATTTTCCATGCAGGAAGCAAAAGTACCGTACGTCCCCATGGTTCCTTGTATGATCTACCTTCAGCTGTTGGCAATCTATAGCCTGTTTTTACATTGTATTGTCATCTATAGTTGAAATGTTTTGATGTTAATAGATTGAAATCTGTCATCAGCTAGTTGTTTTAATGTCCTTCGCTTACAGGTTTTAATAATTTACCTTTATTTGTTGTAAAATTAAAATTGTTCGTAGTCACGATATGGCTGAAATATTGCCTATGTGACTTAAAATTTTAACTCGCTCACTCACCCACTCACTGGATCATTCATGGAAGAAATTATCAGTGCTAGAAATATGTTAGTCCTTGCTGCTCTGTCATGTTAAAATGCCATAGATATTTTGTCCAGATAAAAGACAAAGGACACCTATCTTAAGAAGAGTGAGTGAGTGAGTTAAAATATATAGTCACTTTCGCAATATTTCAGCCATATCGTGACTTAAATAGGTCATATCTTAAAATATGTCTGCGAAGGACAGTAACAGAACTAGAAAACCACAGTTAGAGATTAAAACTAGTGAGTGACTTAAAGGTATGTACTATTTAGGACACTACAATATAAAACAGGCTATAGACCATCAGCAACTGAAGGTAGACACCATACTAGGGACCATGGGGACTTACAGTGCCTTTGCTACCTGCATGGACCCAAGATTTACACCATCCCTTCAGCCACTGGTAATTGTAGTGACATTTAGCCACTATGTAAAACAACAAATGTTCTATTATTAAAGCGTTGTAGGTCAAAATTGACTTTGAAAGCTTGGTGACTTAAGTATCCTTTCAGAGGGACAACGATTTTACAATACTTTAACCCTCTTCGAGGATACAGCTTAAACAACTTAAACTCTACCAATATTAAAAATGAACTATCTACACAATATCAAAATTTATCAATTATTTTAATTTCTTTTAAAAATCTAAGGATTAAATGAGGAGCTGGTCATATACGCGTAACTTATTCAGGGACAATCTGTGGCTGGACCTAAACATTGAGAAATGGGTTAAAATGGCAGTCTCCTACCCACACGAATTACTGTAACGGTTCCATAGAGTTAACATCATTTACAAAGGTGGAACGTATACAATGGACGTCAACTTAGAGCATAGTTGGGTTTTGTTCTTCTGAGACATCTTGTTTTTATGAACTTCTATATTATCTGAGATTAATTGATATCTATGGGAGATTGATGATTCCCCTAAAGGCTAATTTAAATAATGGGAAATAACGAAAAAATATTGGGCTTCTTCCAAAGACTACAATGTCTGTTCCCGACGGAGTCATGCATGTGTCAGGTATGTAAAGGAATAAAAGTGATACTATAATGCACTCAATCAGGAATAACTACATACTGATCATCGTGTACATTAGTTCCTGCCTTCTGTGTGTAAACAATCATAGCTCGTCTCTATTGATTGACCACAGACTTGAGGATCACCTTTTCGGTTTAGCGCATTCCATTGCACAACAATCATGTATTTATTGATGCGCTCGTTATAGACCAGTATCTCATTTTTATTCAATATAACAACTTAATTCCTCATTGGTGAAATAATTGTCGAATCCATAAATCACTCTTTAAGTAGTGAAAACCCTGATTCAGTGAGCAGACACCTCAACATTACATTCAAAACACTCAACAATAGTACTATGGGTCTTTTGTGTAGCGTGAATATCCGTGAGATTCATCTCGGTCCCCTAGGATGCTTTCATATCACAGTTATTGTAATTAGCTCAAGATATCCGGTTCTTACAACACTGTGTGTGAGCGAAGTTAATGAATAGTTCATGAACTATATGGGGTACGCTGACAAATTATATGTTAATGAATGCGGGCAGACAACCGACGTCTTCACTGAAACTAAAGCTGAAACTCCTAAAATAATATTAGAACCATAAGTGCGTGAAACCCTTTCGGAAGGAGTGAGTGAGTTAAGATTTTAAGTCACACTTTCAGAAGGAAAGATTTATGTGAAATATTCATGACAAAGGTTTTGTATGTGGAACAATATACCTCCCAGCGTTCTTACTTGACTGATTGTCAGGTCATATATAAACTACAGGGCAAAATAACTTCACTTGACTACAAAAATAGAAACAAATACATTTAGGATGATATTTAGTATAATTATCTTACAAACAGAAATCAGTTTCCAATAATTTGACTGTAAATTCAATTTGCCGGCATTCATTAAGAAGGGGTCAAGGGGTCAAACTTCGGTTCAAGTTGATGGAGGTAGTACATGCAGTCGCCGTCACGTTCCAGATGTGGTTTTGCCGGATGTAGCTGTCTTCAGCCGGTGTCGTGACTCTTGGTCTTCCCGGTCTTTGGCGGTCTTGGGTCTGGCCTGTTTGCTTGTGGCAGTTTATCAATTTTCTGATGATGGTCTGGTGGAGGTTCTGGCCAGCTGACTTTGTGAAGCCATGACCTTGCCAGCCTTCGTGACTTGGCGGGATCGAACCACGGAGGTTCTCCACCCGAGGTGATAAGCAAAAGTGTCATAGCTGCTAAATGAAAATGTCTTTTTAGCAAGTCTCATTCAGTCACATTCAACGCTATCTATATTTTTGTTCACAGCTACCGATATCTGGCTCGGTGGTTTCCAAGTTGATCTCGGTGGAAATTGGACATGGGCAGATGGCAGTGTGATCAGTCCAACCTACTGGGACGATGGTGAACCAAACACAGAAGGAGAAGTGTCTCGCAGTGTACACAAATTATAGAAACTTAATAAGAAGGTGGAATGATTTGCCCTGTATGTATACTGATGTTCCCATGTTTATGTGTCAACTGCCTCTGCAAAAAGAGCCTTACTGTTGACAATGGGTAGTACTATAATCACCGAGTCATGCTCGAAACCCATACTATAATTGAAGTATATTGCTGTTCATGTGTCACTCACTGCACAAGTTACATTTACGCAACTAGTTTATCGATTATAGGATAAGACATATTAATAGAAAGGCTATTTCTGAATTCTCCTGATAAAAAGTTAGTTTGATACATGTGAATTAAATGCTTTGTGGGTGGATTCTTAAAAGAGATTAGCTTGAAGTTTTGCAATGTCAGAAAAGAGCAAGTATATCATTTCAAACAATTTCATCTTGAACAAGTGACATAGTTCCAAGGAAGTACAACTTCTCAAATTCTACAATATTAGCGACGTTTCTTTGTAGATGCTCACAACCGTGTCACGCATGTGATGTGCACTATTGTGGATAAAACATTTCTATACAAAGTTTGAAATTATTGTTCTTCCATGGTTTCTTTTCACTTCCTCGGTATTCACCGATGTTCCAGTGTCAACAACGTATGCCTCGTTCGCAAAGCGTGTGGGTCGACGTCGTCTTTCAACATGATAACACCTTTCCTCACTCAATTCTCCCCTCCAGAGGCAAATTGCAATGAGCGTAGACCTTCTGCACAAATCCCACACTTTCTGCCATGAAAACGTGTAAGAAATGGTTGGCTAAATTTGACCGTGCGCCGAAGGTGCAAGGGAACATACTACCTCAAATCACCGCTTAGGCTCATACACAATATGCCTTGTCCAGTGAATGATTATCTTAGGTGGCATTCAGAAGCTGGTATGATGGTATGATGGTATGATGAAGACGAACACTTATTATGGATAGACACCGAAACGTCGCATCTACTGCAACAAAGAAGCTGTCTATCCATAAAAAGTATTCCTCTTCAGTGAATGATTGTTTGACATATCGTGATGGTATGTCACGTTTCTGATCCACAAACTACGATACAATTTCCCATATAACCAATATCATCCTTTAAGATCGTTTGCGGTTTGATAGGCTTCGTTTTCTTGAAGCAGCTGCAGGTTTCTGGGTTAGGTAGTGTCTAGTTTCTCAAAGACTGGCCGTACCGATAAGAGGGTGATTAGAAGCCTTTTGCATTTCTGATACATATTTGGAAAAACCAAAATCTTTCTAAATTGTAATATTATTCTGGATTCAAGAACTGATACAAGTCTGACAATATTCTGAATACATATTACTGCATTAACTAGAATTCTATATAGCCGTTTCTTCTGCTATTGCTTCTTGACTGTACTGAGAGTTTGCATTGTACACAATAAAACTTCTAGCTTGAATGCAATTCATTGACTTTTCATTGGGCCTATGGGGATTTACTATTTGCACAGTGATGTTCTGTGTACCGATTTCTGGATTAATATCAGCCTCTCTGTTTGAAATCACTTTGCCTTCACTAATACCTTCTACCAGTTAATCATTATAAAGTTAATGTTATAAAGCCATAGGTACTTTACAAAACAATTGTCACGCTGCAGAACTACATTTCCAATGGCAAATATGTTTAGGTCAAATGTTATTTAAGGTGATTTAAGACGTGTAACTATGTGATGGATTGTTATCAGACGTGTGCAACCATGGTCTCCATGGTGATGAGAGACGTGTACCTATGTAAAAATAGCTGGAGATGAGAGTATATTCCTGTCATGCGACGGCAGCCTGTTAACGAATCAGACAATCAAGTGACCGATGGACCGGAAGCTCCAGTTGAAATCTGCCGAATTATCACAGACAGAGATCCCGAAAGACAAACGTCTTCAACAAGCTAGTGACACGTTTTACATTTCTTCATACGGTAATCTCTTCTGATTTTGTTAAGCGTCTAAAAATCAATAATACGAGAATACATTCAAGTATAACCCAATTTAGAAGTATGAAACGTCGGGTTTGTACACTCTGTTGCGTTAACACTCCATTGTTCATTTGAGTATGCAATATTCATGCACCAATCAGACCCGTCATCGATGTTCTAAAGTCGTCCATTCGTGATCACGATAACCTCAACCACTTTGTAATTTCATTGCAACGCACGTCCAGTAATGTCTGTGGAATCCTTGTCGCGTTGTCACCTTGTCGCCCTTACAAAAAACAGAAAGGAAGTGTCAAAATTAACCAAAGCGAGACAATGCACAAACGCGACATTGTGTGCCGACATACATTATGTCCACGCTTTCAAAAATATGTAGAATTCTATAAAAAAAAGTGACAACACGACATGTCAAAATATGTCCCCATGCCGCATTCTAACCCCAACTAAAATGCATCAGAATAGTATTAAATTGAGACAACGCAATAATATCCCCTCTAGGATTTCATAGAATTATGTGTGCATGATTTTCTTATCACCATGACAGCATATTTTCTTCCTCAGATGACTGCGACAAGGGCTACACGTGGTACCGAAGCCTAGGCCTCTGTAACAAGATCTACAACTCAACGAAAACCTGGTTCCAAGCCAACCATACATGCCATCAAGACGGCGGACATCTCATCAAAGTGGACAGTGCTGGCATCAATGCATTTATGAACAAGATATCCGATTCACACTGTAGGTTGATGGGTGGGAATAAAATCACACTCTTAATAAGATAATTCTAACTAAATATCCCAAAGACGGACGTACACGTCAAACGCCCACACATTGAAGCACACATGTATACACATTGGTTTCGCACACAAAATATATCCGAATGTCAACCACTTTAGTATACTATAATTTACTCTAAACAACTTATTGTTTAAAGTTATGCTTTTAGGAGGGTAGTTTTCATTTCTTTAAGTTTATTACATAACAAGGCAAACACAGAAAATTACCTCATTTGACGAGAGAACTGTCTCTTTTGTTAAATAAAGAGCTCCAGAACTTCAGAGCACTTACCTTTCATATTTATACAGATATCCAGTCTAGTTATCAGTAATACGAGTAAAGTTGGGATTATCCTGCTGTCTGCTTTATGCAACAATCAGCAGTTTGTTAAACACTTGACTTTCATCCTATGCATTTCCCCATTTGACAAACTAATAGTCAGTACAGCTTATGAGAGTTCTATCCAAAGTGCTAAGAGCAACCATAGTGTCATAGCTGCCACATGCAAATCATTTTCTCCAGTTTCATTCAGCACAAACGTTAGTAGATATCTATGTTAGTGTTCACAGCTGCCATTGTCTGGCTGGGTGGTTTTAAAGCTAATCCCAGTGGAAAGTGGACATGGTCAGATGGAAGTGTCATCAGTCCAGACTTCTTGGACAACACTGAACCAGACCCAGGGGCAGATAAGTGTACAACAGTAAGCACGGATTATATAAACATGACACGGAGATGGCATGATTACCCGTGTACATATACTTACATTCCCATGTTTGTGTGCCAGCTGCCTCTGGAGGGAGAGCCTTACTGTTGACAGTGGATAATAATACAATTGCCATACCCGAAATGTGCTCAAATAAGATGCTGCAGTTACTCCATGCACCAGTCACGTTAACAAAACCAGTTGGTCGATTGTGGGATGAGTCTAAAGTCATATCGACAAAACAGTATTTCTGAATTCTTTTAACAAAAAAGTTATTATGATATACGTGGATTAAAGTTTTATAAACAGCTAATGTCAAACTGTTTCAACTTAAACAAGGGACTTAGTTCTTTGGTAATACAATGTATAAACTGTTTCGGTGTACATCTTAACACCCTTATGAGGCATGTGATGTACACTACTATGGGTACAGCATTATTATACATGAGTAAAGTTATGTTTATATAGTTAATATCATATAATGTGATATATACTACCCATCAAAAGTTTAGAGTCACTAGTGTAAATGTAGCCACTCACTTCAGTCAACTGTTCTAAACTTGATTTTGCAAAATATTCCATTCAGTTTATAGGTACTGTTTTCACATGAACTAATGTATTGTAAAACAAATTCGTAACGTTGAAAAGAATATTGTCATGAATTCAGTAACTGATGATTATCAGTGAAAATTGGCGAATTCTTAACAAAACTTTAACTCAACTGTTCACATGAACGATATTTCCACATGCCTTTTAGCAAGTTTATGCATATGCATGATCCTCGTACAATTCACCTGCATAACGTTTGCAGCTGGTTCCCCCAAGTTAGTGGAGAAATTCATCTACTCTTGTGCAGACTCGATTATTTCCAGACCGCCGCCATGTAGCTGGAATATGTCTGAGTGCGGCGTAAAAATAAACTAAACTCACTCACATGTCACTCTGTTCAGTTTACGTACCAAACAAATCCACTACAGTGAGTCTCTTCACCTCCACGACATTCACCGATTGGCCTGATCCAATGCCAACTACGTCCGTCGCGTTCTCAAAGCGTGAGCGTCGACGTTTTATCTTTCAGGATGACAAAACCTTTCCATACCCTGATCAAATAGTCAATGCTCCCCTCCAGAGGCATGACATCCTGAAATTGCCATATTTATTCATGTTCATACCAAGCAGTTGGTTGAACTCGGTCACGTACCAAAGGTGGAATAGAACATACTACCTTAAATCACCTTTGGGAGGTTCACATGCAATATTCCTAGTCGAGTGAACGTTTGACATATCGTGGCGGTAGCAATTTGTGTCTAATGCAATGTGTAAGGCAATAAATTTCTGAATATTTTGATATACAGTTTGTATGGTTTTGTACAATAACGTTCCACTATTATCAAATTGAAAAATCCATTATTTTAGGTATGTTTCATTTTTTAGAAACATAAAAAGATTGTTATTGATTTTACACAGCATGAACAGTTTGTGAGTGATGACAGCTGTGTTGTATTAATATGTCATTACTAATAATTAGCCGATTGCGCAGATCGATGCTCATGATGTTGATCACTGCGCACTGAACTTTGAGTTAGTATCAGGTATTGATTTATGTATCGTGGAGATGTATTCAAAGTCATCAACATAATACATGCATTGCAAAATTTACAGTTTAACGCACTATATTCGTATAAACATACCTAGGGATTATAAAAACGAATTTTGGGAGTTATATTGGCGTCTTTCTAAGCTTCTTTAATATCTGTGAATAATTGCAGTAATGTTGAAAGATAGCTGCCTGTGTTAATGCAGTAACATTTTTGAAATTTAACATGACATTTTATTTATGGAAATATCGTGATATGTCAAAGGGTGTTAAGTATTTAACAGCAGGTTTGCATTTAATTGAAAAAAAATATGATCCAAATGTGAAAAAAGGCTAAATTCTTGATACAATTTCATCTTATTGAAAGACAAGATCATAACAGCATATGTGAATATAGGGCTCAATTAAAGTGAATAAAATGAATAAATTCTGTTAGAAGTTTATTTCTTAAACCCATAGAAAAAGTGAAAAATCGGTGGCTGTTTCCAAGATGGGCGCCAAAATGATATTTAGCTTGACATCCGAAATGTCCATCACAATAAATCGTACAGTTGAGACATCAGGTTAGCTGAAAATCATATTTGTCCATCAGTTTGGTGGTCCGTGGTCACATATATTTTGCCCTTTAATGCTGTGTCTCATATTTCACCATATTTGTTAGTGGTTTGTTTTTACGTTGATGACAGAGTTCTCTACCCCTGAATACCACCATAATTTTCATTCATTACTCGTGTTATGACAAGCCGAATAGCGACTCGTGCCCCTCTGGAAGGATTTTATATTAGCGCATGAGCATCAGAACTACCGTAAACAAGAACGATAACTTTATTCCTGTTTTCGATTTCAATGGTACTTAATATCACCGAAGCCCTGGTATATTGTATTGCCGTTTTCCTTCATATATTTTAAAGAATTAAACTTCTTAAACACTTACAACTAAAAGAAAGGTGAAAATATTTGTTAAAAACCCATTCTAACATATTTATTACCAGCAGTTCACCTTATATTTACAAATGTTATTCTCTAAATAGGGGTGAAAAATATAAAATATGCAAATCGAATAATCTTTTTCCGATGCATTACTCAAAGATACTCAAAAAATGACTTTAAAATATTTCGCAAACTGAAAATTTATGTTTTTTTACTGCCAATTCCCTAGTGGAATTTTAAAATGAATACGCTGAAAAGTATATGAATAACCTAAACAAATTCAGACTAAAATATCCCCAGAAATGTGAGATATAAGCCCAATTTAAAGATTAAAGTTGATTAGTTATATATAGATATAATATTATTGTTTTGAAACGCGTAGCGATTTAGAACTATAGTTCCTAAAAATGTTGGGAAGCGCACGTACAATCTCCAAAAAAGCCTGTGAAATGGTCAAAAATATAGTCAATTGCACCCATGAGAGCCGTTTTTAAACGTAAAGTGTATTTGAATCTCTCACCGTCAGTCGCATGATTCTCATTAAAAACTTCATATTAGGCAGCAAAATCCTGTGAGCTACGCTCTTTGTACTTTCAGTATGACGGTATATATTCTTCATGTTTTTTTAAACAAAGACATAATGTCATAACCGATTTAAGTACTCAGGACTATTTTTATCAAAGTACTAGTTATCACTGGTTTGTGGTATTTTCGCACATAACAAGCATCGAGACGGGGACGAGTCTTCGTGGAGGTTACAGAAAGGGGCGAGTGGTTACGAATGATAACAAGCATCGAGAAGGGGTCGAGTCTTCGTGGAGGTTACAGAAAGGTGACGAATGCATATTTACTTCCAGTTTGTTTTGAAGCTCCCAGTTTGTTTTGAAGCTCCGTTTAGCATGTTTAATTCCTTGCATTCTGTGTTGTGTATGCACATAGATTCTATGAGACTGTGATGTAATTGTGTCACGTGACAGTACCTTATATGGAGATTGCCGGAGGGTGAGTTTCTGTCTGCAGCATGCGTATATGTCAGTTCGATCATTTTGCTTATGATATATCGTCTGTGAATTATATTTTACAATTAATGTAATATGAAGATGAGTTCCACCTTTTGTTTTTATGTCCTTACTACACTGATTTAAGGACAAAATATCAACCGCAATATTACCATAAAAATGCTAATAAGTGTAAATTATATGTGTTAATGAACACATAGTACAAGTAATATTCACAATGTATATCCACCATGCTTTCTTATACAGAAAAAAACGTCTGCAAAATGTGTGATTGTATGTCATTTTTGTTATCCGACTTTGTACTATAGGCCTGTGGCCTCTTCAGTACTGGAATAAAAGAAGAGAAGTAGTATGTCTGTACTAGAATAGATCTACTATTCTTTGGGGTTCCCAGGATAAATTCTTCAACGCCACTTACATGCTGAGATTGACGAAACTCATATGATATAACGATCAGCAGATCATCTTTCTGGGATTCCGTTTGAGAATATACAGGAACGTGCTTGTTTTAACTGTTTACTAGCAGGATTCCGGAGAGCGGAAGGTCGCGGGTTCGATCACCGACCGCGTCATACCAAAAGACGTTAAAATATGGTACTTGTTGGTCCCTGCCTGGCGCTCGGCATTAATTGCTACAACAAGGACTGGTCGGCTCGGAGTCAGTATAATGTGTCTGAGTTGGGTATTCATGCTTCACTGCAGCATGGTGCCTCAGTGGGCTAGCACTATAAAACCAGCTTAAGTCTGGGCTAGTACAAGCAGCCGCAAATACACATACACACGCATGCACGTCGTCATATGAGCGAAATATTCTCAAGCACGACGTTAAACTCAATTTCACCTCACCTTACTAGCAGGATTGGACGGTAATGCGTTTCATCTCATCCATAACGGTCGATGTCCATGATGTGAATCTCCTTGATCATATACACACGGAGTACATTACTGACGGATAGGGGTGAGTGGGGTAGCCTAGTGGTTAAAGCGTTCGCTCGTCACGCAGAAGACCCAGGTTCGAGTCCCCTCATGGGTATAATGTGTGAAGTCAATTTCGTAAACACAAAGGATCAGCAGAAATAATTGGAACATGCCACAAAATCGACAGCAAAACAGCAACTATTTCGTTACTCACTCAAAATACCCCCCACCAACACGTGAGTGCATTACTGACGGATGGGGGTGAGTGGGGTAGCCTAGTGGTTAAAGCGTTCGCTCGTCACGCAGAAGACCCAGGTTCGAGTCCCCTCATGGGTATAATGTGTGAAGTCAATTTCGTAAACACAAAGGATCAGCAGAAATAATTGGAACATGCCACAAAATCGACAGCAAATCAGCAACTATTTCGTTATTCACACGAATAGGTTTATTATCAATCCCAACATCGGTTTCGTGAGGCTCATATTTCACTATGTCAGAGTCGTTCCATACTCTTTAATGCACTCATTTTGTTTCTTCTCCACTGGCATTTCGGGACAAGATGCTGTCCCATGTCTGAACCATCTAAAACCTGGGTTAGTGAGTGTATTTAGCTTTACGCCGCACTCAGTAGTATTCCAGCTATATGG